AAACCATATTTTTATAAAAGAAGAAAGTGAAAATACTGAAGCCGTTTTTGCCTCTTGAAGTCAATTAATTTTAAAAAAACAATTGATCAGGCAATTCAAATTCGTCTTGCTTCATATTTTAGAAATCTGATACATAAGTATTTTATAGCAAGATTAAAAGATAAACAGTTTGCTGAGTATAAAAAGTGTTTTACAATTAGTGTTCCTAGTGAAATATGATAAAATAGTTTTTATACTGTTTGTGCAAGTCTTTTAAAATCGCAAAAAGCATTGCAGGTAAATTTATGTACTATATATATACAATACCTTATAAGTTATAATTATTATTATTAATAGTTTATTTTTTTAGATTCTTGCAATTAAATATAAACCACCTATTGCAGAAACTTTATATGCTGAAGCAGGACCAAGATTAAATCATGAAATATATGAAATTATTAGTTCTAAAAATTTTTAGACTAATATTCATTATGTGTTCAATATTCTCAAGCCATATTGCATTATTTTGAATAAATTGCAATCTGACAAAGCCCGATTACATCAAGTTATTTTAAGTTTGAGTTACCTTGCTCAATTTTGGAATGATTATGATGATTTTCAACTAAGTACTCAACTTGTACTATGCATAGAATGTTAATAGCATGATTGGAAGTAACTTTTATTAATTTTAGCCTGTCTTTTGCATCCTAATTATCATTTAGAAAAATTTACATTTAATATTAACTATACTAACCTAGGTCTATGATTAATATATTATTATTGTGTATGGTTTGAAAAGGAACCAAAACAAATCTTAAAAGAATATGATGATTTTCACTTAAAAAATATCCTTTTGATATGAATACATAGTGTCATTTTGATAATGATATTTATAAATATTAGTGTTTTATAAGCTCTTCAACAAAAGAATTAGGCTTAGTTGCAACTCGAATTTTTAAAATCTACATAAATGCAGTTGCTGTAGAAAGGTTTTGGAGTTGCATGAGATTTTTGCATACAAATTGGCATAGCTGATTAATGGTAAGTATAATTATATTTACTTTACAAAAATCTGTTAATTTTGAGATATGCAAATTGAATTATAGTAACAAAATGCTAATAAAATGCTTAGATTTGCAAAAGTTTGCTTTTTAATAGTACATTATCAGTACTGTTAAAATGCTTATTTTTAACAAGTTTAATTTTAACAGATTTTTGCAAAGTACAATTTTATTATATATATATTTTAAATTAAAATATTACTAATAAATATTAGTCAGCAAAAGTTCTAAAAATGAGCAAGCTATATGCAGATATTACATTTAGTTATTGGCTTCAATCAAATTTAGAAATTGATCAAACTCAAATATATGATAACAATATTTTTATACAACAGTCTAATTTATCTATAGAAATAGATTCTGTAGAACAAACAAATATCAATATTGAGATGTCTACTTTAGATAGTATAAGTAACTTAAGTTCTGAAGATCTAAATATTAGTAAAACTTCAAAAAATAAAGAAATAGAAGAATCTTCAGATGACGAATTTGAAGTGAAGATATAAGTGAAGAAAATTTTAATAACTATTTGCAAGAATGGTCTGATATGTTAGAAGAAGAAAGTCAACAATTTGAAGAAGAAGATATTAATGAAAAATATACAAATAGTGATGAATTTACTACAAATAATACTCATCCTGTGATTGATATCAATGCAAAATGAGAACTATCTACTCTTTTTAAGCAATTGGAGTTGAATGAAATTTTATAGGTAAACATAAATTTTATTGCAATTATTTATGAATATATTTTTAACAAAGCTCTTCACTAATATTTAAAATGAAATTAAACAAATCTTATATTTAATTTCACCTTGCAAAAATACATTAGCACTATATGAATAATTTTTTTTAAATATTACATTTCAATATCAGAACACTTTAAACATATTCAATATATATCAATTTTAAATTTTTTATAAGCTTAACAAAAGTCAAATATATATTATCTGAGTTCTTTGAAAAGTTTAAGTAAAGTTATATGATTTAAAATTATTTTAT